CCGCAAGGCCAGATCTCCCCGCCCATCAGAAGCTTAAAAGTTTATGTAGAGGCTTAGGGTCAGCCGAGTGGCTCAGTTGGTTAAGAGCTCGCTCAAGAGTGCGAGCTCTGAGCAATAGAGTCGCCGGTTCGATTCCCGACCCGAGCTGAGCTGCTGCTGAGCTGCCAACAGGTGGCAGGATGGCTCAGCTAAAAAAAAAAAAAAAGTTTATGTAGAGACTTTAACTGGGTTTAGTCATGTACACCGTCCAGATGGTCTCAATAATACCTTACATCTCGCGATGTTGCGTCCTTGAAATGGCTCTGGTTGTGGAAACAGAGTGTACATTCCAAGGACACGGGAGGCATGAGGGGTTCGGATTGTCAAGGTCCAGTTCACAGGTGAACCAGCTGTTACATCCTCCAGATTACCTTCTTTAACACCTTTCTCTTCCAGTATCCCTCCAGCGCCCTCTAGTGACAAAGCTTAACATGCCAGCTGGCAAAGGAGGACTATTATTACAAGGGCCCTACTCAATTTTCATACAGAGGCAATAATGGATGGGTTTGAAGCTGAGAGGCAATAAATTGATAACTGGCACACTAGCTTTTCTTATTTGGATACAATATTTACAACATAGACTGTTGCTGAACTAATTACAATATTATACATTTCTAACCTTTGTTACTTTCTAATGCAAAGTACCCTCCAATCCCCCACTACACCTAAATGTAAAGCTCCAGGCTTTGAAAAACATAATCTACCCAGTCCTAAAATTCTACACTTAGAAAATACCTGAATACCTATTTAGGGCACTGAACAGTCCTCTGGTTAAATAATGCCCTGCATAGGCCTAGGTGTATACTGTTCGATACAATCATAAATTCGATTGATTTTTATTCACTTTAAAATTTTGCCTCTTAGTATTTGTTTGTGTTTTCTCTTTCTGAGATAAGCGCACAGTTGTTGTCTTCCTCTACTTGGCTGTATTATAAATGAATGGCCCAATAAGGTATATCATGATGGAAAGAGCACTGGCTGTCTTTCAGGCCCAGGAGGTTTTTAATTCTGACTCCACCTCTCTCTGGGTGTGTGGTCTTAAGCAGATCACTTAATCTCTATGAGCTTCAGTTTCTTTGTATCCAATTGGGACAATAACACCCACATTGCGTGTTTTAAAAAGACTGTGTGGAGCACCCAGTAGAGTACTTGTCTCAGAGAAATTACCTATTTTGAAAGATAGCTTGGATCTGTAAAGTTTCACTGCTCTGATATCTGTTAGGGAGTTTATTCAACTGCCCACGGTGAACATTGTAAGCATGCCAAGTTAATTCAAACTTTCATTCCAAAGACAGCCACAGAAGCATAAAATAAAGCTTTGTAAAGTGTTCCACTAATTACCATAGAATTTCTAAACAATATTCCAGATTGGTTGGAGGGGGCTGGAGGGCCGGACAGTAATGGGCACAGACACCAAAGGTTAATAGAGATTCTCAGAAACATTAGCTCTCCCCTTGCTGCCCCTCCCTAACTGACCTTTGGTCTTCTTTTTAATGAGAGGTGGTTTTTGAAAGTGAAATTCCCTTCCCTCTTCAACATGTCTTGCTATACTCATTCTCAACTTAGAAAATTCAAATAACTGCATATAGGAAAATGAACCACTTTTTTTACACAGAATGCAATGCTGACAACAGTTCATCAAAAAGAATGAGATGCTACACTAAAGGACTTGAAAATCAAGCCAAACTTGAGATCTATACACTTCAGTTAGGAACACCAGGATGAACTCTGATTCAAGTGTCTCACCCAGTAAAAAAGTTGCTAGAACTTTCACCTACTTTAATCTCAATTTCCAAAAGTCGCAATGGACTTCCTAGACTGTATATTCCTTTAGTTCATTTCACAACACCAGTGTTTTTCATATTCAGACCACACCTAATGCCAAGTATTTTTTCTGCTTCTTAAAGTAGATGTATCCAGAGATGAATGTAGCTCTTCCTTAAGAAGAGGATTCTGGGGTTTCATCTAAGTCAATTGAATTCTCAACATAAGATCAGACAAACAAGAATATAATGGAACCCAGGTGTTAGACTAATTACTAATTTAACCAGAAATGAAGAAAAGAGAAATATTAATTCTTGATGCAAGTTGTTGTGTTATTACAGAATCCATCATAATGAAATAATGACCTCACTTTGCTCAGAGGCTAACTGTACAAATGGCACCGTATCGATTGAATGTTAATGAGTTGTGTGTGTGGCAGCAGGTAAATAGTAGACGGCAGAAGGAAGCTATTGTGATAGGTAGATAATTACAATGGAAGTCATGTCTTGGGTACTGAGCAGGATTCACATCACATCTCCTCAGTCATAGCACAATTTCTCTAGCTCTGTTTATAGTAATCTGTGGGATTCTTTGACAGCAAGATGACATTTTGACTTTGGAGCAAATTTTTCTCATAGAAAGCACAATTACCCACTGACATGGTGATATGCAATTAAACACAGCCCTGCTGGACAATTCAGATATTTTCAAACATGCGAAGAGTGGATGCGTTATTCATTAGCACATGAAATTCTTCAGTCCTTGTGTATAGAGAGCCCTTTGGTTCTAAAGGCTTCAGTCATATGCAGTGGATGCATTCTGAAATTTTTAATTGCCTATTATTTAAATAAGAAATTTCAAATTTTTAAATGTAGGAGAATTCTGGAGCTAAAGCTAATATCTGTGGTGGATCAGACCTTTACTGTATGCAAAGGCTGTGTTTCAAGGAACATTCTTTGGCTCATAGTCTATCTAAACCCATTTAAGCAAAAAAAAATCCATATTATAAAGGAGTTTTATTATAGCGTAAAACGTAATATGCTGGAAATATGTATGAATTCTTATGAGTGCAATTGTTTTATTTAAACTCACTGAGGCATCATTAATGTACCACACTGAATGTGAAAGAGAGAAAAACTCCTTTTATATCTTTTCCATGTTTTGTCAAGTTCAGAAAGGGAATTCTTTTACTAGAGAAAGAGAAAGAGAGGGAGGGAGAGTTGTGTATGCACATGCATTCATATTTGTCTACATTTAGCCATTTCTCAATTAACTGCATGTAAAAGGACAGTTTTCATCTCACACTAATTTTCCCTGCCATCACTCAGAACCACCCTCCTCTCTCCTCAACGTGTATCCAGGAGAAATTGGTATGTTTTGACATTAGCCCAAACGAAACATAACTAAATGGAAGAGAAGTCTAAACTAAATTATTTGTTATGTCATCATTGAATAAATTAAGCATCAACAATGTGTTTAAAATCATGAAAAAATGAGATGAAGGTATAGTCTTTCTGTGGTACAGATGACATTAAAATACACTCAGAAAACATTGGACCTATTGTTCTATTTACACATCATGAACACATCATTAGTTAAAAGCAAAAGAATCTCACTCACTTCTTGGTTGCATATTATCGGATCGCCAGAGATTGGCAGAAATACTAAACTTCTGCAATATTCATCTACAGCATGGGATAGTATAATTACTTTGTGTAGTTTATTATGAAGATTTCATGAGCTAGAGCAAGGTCAGCAAACTATGGACCAAGTCAAACCTGGCCCGCCACCTTTGTTTTTCCAGCCCACAGCATAAGAATGGTTTTTACATTTTTTAATGATTTTTTAAAATCAAAACTATAATAATACTTCATGACACGTGAAAGCAATATAAAAATTCAAGTTCCAAATTCTTTAAAGTGATGTTGGAATGCATCTACACTCATTCACTTTTGTATGGTCTATGGTGATTTTCCACTACAACAGCAGAATAAGGCACTACAATAGTTGCAGCAGAGACCTTATGGTCTGCAAAGCCATCAAATATTTATTGCGTGGCCCTTAACAGAAAAAGTTTGTCAACTACCGAATTAAGCATGAAAATCACTTAGTACATAGTAGGGGCTTAATAAATGGTATTTATTTACATAAATATAGTCTTAACATATTCATATATATATTACATGGACTATAAATAATTTTGGTTCCCCAGGTGCTATTCATGGCTGCAAAATGTAGTATGGAGACCAGCTCAACAGAACTGCCAGGCTGCACTGGGCTCCAAAAAGGCTTTCTCCATCCCTTTCCCACTCCCCCAGGACCTGTCTCTACTCACCTTCTCCTTGGCAGAGAGGGTGAAGCGCATCTTCTGTGTGCCTCATCCATGGCTTTCAATGCTGGCTTAGATTACTGCTCAAAAACACCCACCTCCTGCCCCCACCATCTGCATGTGTGGAGTGCACTTTGGGAATGACCAAATGACTTACTTTGGGATGAACATGAACAGACATATCACAGCCTACTGGAGTCCTCGTTTTCAAACTATTCATCCTAGACCTCAGTTACAAGGGAAGCAAAAGTTGTTAGAACTCGAAATGCACTAATGAATTGGCCATCAATAAAATTAGCACCCACTTCAAACCTTCCTCATCACTGAGGTCATTCCTTCCCATCAGATCAGAGCCTTAATCTTCTCTCCTGCACGTCCAATTTTTCTGCCTTATTCAACCCAAGTCCTACCTCACTAGCCCAGGTGTCTGCCACCCAAACAGTTGTCGAGGTTACACTTTTCGGTCCATAAGAATACGGAAATGGATTATTTACAAGTATTAAGCCTCAGTTAAATTTATTCTTTCTGCCAGCCACATAGAAAAGAAAAACTCTGGTAAAAACATAAAATGCATTCAGCTGGGGTTACAGCTCATTTTTGCATGGGATCAGCTTCAGATTTTCATCTGGAATTGACTATTTTCAAATTCACATGTTTAAAAGTGATGAAAGAGAGAAATTAGGTTTATAGTCATTTCAGCAGTAAATGGTCTATGAACCATCTTGACACCCTCTCTTGAGACCCCTAGGTTCTTAGGCTTTAGGCAATTTAAAAGGGAAAAAAAATGGATGACTATGTTATTATCATTTATTGGCCCACTGAGGAGTTTGGCCAAGTAAAATATCTTCTAAGAGGAGGCCCCAAACCATCACTCCAGCAGGGTTTCCTGCTGGGTGGGGCATGCAGTCTTCACCACCATTCTCTAATAGCAAAAAGAAAGGGTTTATGTCATCAAGGAACAGAGAATTCTGCTTAGAAGGTACATATCCTTTGAAGATTCCACACCACTAAAATTCTTGGCTCAATTATGTAATTAAATTATCCAAATGNAAAGCTATGGAAGGCAGCACAGCAAACTAGTTAAGAACCCTGGTTGCAATCCTGCCTCCTCCTCTTACTAACTATGGAATCTAAACAAATGCCTCGCTTTCCATAGATATAAAATGGGGATAACAGTGTCCACCTCCATGGGCTGCCGTGAAGATTAAATAAGAATCCACAAACAGTATAGTGTTTGGCACACAGCCATCAGGAAATGTTAACTATCCTTATATTTTACATTATATAGTTTATTCTACAAGAAACAGTTTATTATTATAGTTAATCATCTCTATCATTAAGATTTAAAGGTTATATTTGAGACAATTCTAAAAAGATACTTCAAATGTCTGTTGTATCTCAAAAATTATATTTAATAATTAAAAACAGAAATTCAAAACCAACGTGGAACTATGACAGTAACTATAAATTGAATAAAATGTTCAGAGTGTCCTAGGGGGAAAAAAGATACGTTCGACAATAAAACTCACCTCTGAGCATGCCAAATGTCTGACATTGGTGAACCAGTCGACGTGAGCACGACAATGATCAAATGCATGAATGAGCTCGTGGGTGACCACTCTGTTCATATGAGCCTGATTACGAATATTATTCTGGCACAAAACAATCTAGAAGACACCAAAATAAGAGAAGTTGGATTATTTCTACAATCTACTCTCATTTCATGGATTCCACTCTCTCTCTCACACCAAAGGCCTCCCCTGCTTGGATTGCCTCCGCCCACATTTCTCCCCTGACCCCACACCTACCTATCTGTCAAGGCCCAGTATTAACCACATGCTCTGCTCCTTTAAGCCTTCCCAATGGCTAACATCTCCCTTCTCCTCTCGCTGGATCACAACAGCACTTACAGTAAGAACACTTATTCAGACACTGTCTTCACTGGGAGGACTGAAACAGTGTGTCTTGGACTCCACAGCATTGTGGAGTTTTGTGTCAGATTAAGAGTGTGGACTTCGGGGGCCGGCCGAGTGGCGCGATGGTTAAGAACTCGCTTGGGATGCCAGAGGGCCCCGTTTCGGATCCCACATATGAGGGCCAGTGAACACTGCCCTCCACAGCTAAGATGCTGAACAACAGCTCAACCTGGNATATATATAGAGAGAGAGACTTAATTTGTGGCCTAATATATGGTCTATCTTGGAAAATGTCCCATGTACACTTGAGAAGAATGGGTATGCTGTTATTGTGTAGAGTGTCCTGCACATGTCTGTTAGATCTAGTTGGTTTCTTATGTTTCAAGTCCTGTATATCCCTAGTTACCTTCTGTCTGGTTATTGCATCCATAATTGAGAGTGGGGTAGTGAAGTCTCCAATTATTTCTCCCTTGTATTTCTTCCTTCAATTCTGTCAACTTTTGCTTCACATATTTTGATGATGTTAGTAGGTATGTAAATGTCTATAATTGTTATATCTTCTTGCTCTATTGAAATTTTTATTAATATATAATGTCCTTTGTCTCTTGTAACCTTCTTTGATTGAAAGTCTATTTTGCCTAATGTTAGTATAGCCACCCCTGCTCTCTTTTGGTTACTATTTGCATGGAAAATTCTTTTCCATTCTTTCACCTTTTATCTGTTTGTGTTTGCATCATAAGTGAGTCTTTTGTAGACATCCTATAGTTCAATGTTTTGGTTTTTGTTTGTTTATTTGTCCATTCTGCCAAACTCTGTCTTTTAATTGGAGAGTTTAATTCATTTACACTTAAGTAATTACTGATAAGGAGGAATGTACTTCTGGCATTTTGCTATTTGTTTTTCTACATACCCTTGCAGCTTTTTTTCTCCCCCATTTCCTGCATTATTCTCTTTTGTGTTAATTTTTTGTAGTGAAACATATAAGCTTCTTTCTCATTTCCTTTTGTGTATTCAATGGCTGTTTTCCTTGTGGTTACCATGGGGATTACATTATAACAACTTAATGTTTTAACACTCTACTTTGAATTTATACCAGCATAACTTCAATAACATACAAAAATTCTCCTTTAAAACTCCTTCCCCATCTTTCAGTTGTTGATTTCACAAAAATATATATACATTATGTGCCCCAAAACATAAAACTAATAATTCTTTTAAATGTATTAGCCTCTTAAAGTATGTAGAAAAAGAAAGGTGGAGTTATAAAACATCATTTTTTCAGATATTCTCTCTGCCACTTTCTCTCTCTCTCTCTCTCTCTTCTCTTCTCCTTCTGGGGTCTCAGAATACAAATGTTGGTCAACTTGATGGTGTCCCGCAGGTCCCTTAGGCTCTGTTCCATTTTCTTCAATCTGTTTTCTTTCTGTTCCTCAGACTCAATAATTTTCAATGTCTTATCTTCAAGTTTACTGATTCTTTCTTCTACATATTCAAATCTGCCTTTGAATCCCTGAGTAGATTTTTCATTTCAGTTATTGTACTTTCCAGCTCCAGAATTCCTTTTTGGTTTCCTTTTAAGTCATCTATCTCTATTATTTCCATCTTGTTCATACATTGTTTCTTGACTTTCTCCACACGCTACTTTGGTTCTTTCAGCATCTTTAAGACAACTGTTTTAAATTCGTTGTCTAGTAGATCCACCATCAGGTCTTTTCCAGGGGGTTTACTGGGTTTGTTTTTTTTTCCTTTAAATGAACCACATGTTCTTATGTATGCCTTGTGTATCCTTTGTATGCCTTGTGATTTTCTTTTTTTTTCTTTTTTTTTATGAAAACTGGCCATTTGAATCTACTTATGTGGTAACTCTGAAAATCAAATTCTCCCCCTACCTCCAGGTTTGCTGTTGTTTTGGGTTTTGGGTTGTTTGTTTTGAGTTTTGGGTTGTTTGTTTTTGTTATAGGCTGTCTCTGTACCAAGGATCCACCTGAAGTATAAACTTAAGGTCTTCTTGGGTCTTTTCTGAACCTGCGTCTTTCCCTGGGCACAAATAGGGATTTTCTAATTACCCATGTATATGCCTTTCTGTTTTGATTTGTTTGTTTGTTTGTTTCTAAATGTTCCAGTCTTCAATGTTTGGCTCCCAAAAGAGGGAAAAGGTAAAAATGAACAGGGGGGCGGGGGGAGCAGCAGCCCTTTAAACAGCCTGTAAGTCACTTCAGCCAGACAAAAAGCACTTCGTAAAAATTGGAAGCGGTACAACAATGCCACCTCCTCCTTTTCTGAACCTCTGTGAAAATAAGCAGCAATCAGCAATCAGAGAAGATCCCAAATATACGGACAGGGAGGACAGGGTGCTTTCTGCCCACGCTGGTTCCCACCCACAATCTGTGATCCAGGAACACATGCATAGCTCCTGCCACAGNCATCCTAATGAATTTTGTCAGCAGTCCATTAAATTTTTTGCTTTTCTATTGGGTGTGTAGTAGTTTCTCATTGTGGTTTTAATTTCCATTTATTAGATGATTAATGATATTAAAACACTTTTCATGTGTTGATTAGCCAATTATGTTATCACCCTTTTAAAGTATCTGCTCAAGTGTTTTGTTATTATTTATGGGTTGTTTGTCTTTTTATTGAGTTATAGAAAGTCTTCATATTTTCACATAAGAAGCCTTTTTCAGATAAATGTATATATTCTTCTAGTCCATAATTTTCTTAATATTTTTTAATATTTTTTAATATTTTTCCGTTTTCTTAATATTTTTCAATGAACATGTCTTTAATTTTGAATTTAGTCTAATTTACCAATTAAAAACATTTATGGTTCTCACTTTCTGTGTCTTTGATGTAGTTTAATCCATTTTGAGTTAATTTTTGCATATGGTGTTAGATAAAGACCCAAGTTCATTAGTTTGCATCCAGGATTCTCAGCACCATCTTAGACTGTGTTTTCCTCATTGAATGGTCTTGGCACCCTTGTCAAAAATCATATAACCATATATGTGAGGGTTTATTTCTGAACTCCCTACTCTGTTCCATTGGTTTATAAATCCCCCAGCTTTGTGGTTTTGTTTTTCTTTTGTTTTGTTTTGTTTGTTTTTTTCAAGATTCTTTTGGCTATTCAGGCTTTCTTGAGGTTCTATGTGAATTTTAAGATGGGTTTTTCTATTTCTGCAAAAAAAAACTGTCATTGGAATTTTGATTGCACTAAAGCTGTAGATCACTTTGAATACTATTAACATTTTAACAATATTAAGTCTTCTAATCCATGAATATGGAATGTGTTTCCATTTATTTATGTTTTCTTTAATATGTTTCAGCAATGATTTATAGTTTTCCTTGTACAAGTCTTTCACCTGCTTGGGTGTCTTTTTCTTGCCTATTGTTCTAGCTAGGACTTCCAGTAACATGTTGAATAGAAGTAGCAAAAGCAGCAACCCTGCCTTGTTCTTGATCATAGAGGAAAAGTGTTCAGTCTTTCACCATTGAGTATGATGCTCGCTGTGGGTTTTCCATATATGGCTTTCATTATGTTGAGGTAGTTTCCTTCTATTCCTAGCCTGTTGATTGTTTTTATCATTAAAGGGTGTTGAGTTTTGTCAAATGTTTTTTCTGTATGTGGTCTTTTTCCTTCATTGTTAGTGATGTATATTACATTGATCAAATTTCAGCTGTTGAATCATCCTTGCACTCCAGGAATAAATTCCACTTGGTCATAGTGTGTAATCCTTTTATTAGGATGCTCAATTTGGTTTGCTAGTATTTTTTGAGAATTTTTTTTCAATGTTCATAAGGGATATTGGTCTATAGTTTTCTTGTAATCGGTTTGTCTGGCTTTCCTATCAGAATAATTCTGGCCTCATAGAATGAGTTGGACAGTATAATTTTTTCAGAAAATTTGAGAAAGATGGGTATTAGTTCTTTTTTAAATGTTTGGTAGAATTCACCAATGAAGCAATCAGGTCCAGGGATTTTCTTTGTTGGGAGATTTTTTATTACTAATTCAAACTCCTTACTAGTTATAGGTCTAACCAGATTTTCTATTTCCTCATGGTTTGGTGTTTGTAGATGTTGTGTTTCTAGGAATTTGCCCATTTCATCTAGGTGATCCAGTTTGTAGGCATACGGTTGTTCACAATACTCTCTTATAATCCTTTTTAATTTTGTAGAATCAGTAATAATGTCCCCACTTTCATTTCTAATTTTAGTAATTTGAGGTCTCTCTTTTTTTCTTAGTCCATCTAGCTAAAGTTTTGTCAATTTTGTTGATTTTTCAAAGAATCAACTTTTTTTGTTTCATTCATTTTCTCTGTTTTTTTGTTCTCTATTTCACTGGTCTCTGCTCTAATCTTTATTAATAATTTCCTCCTTTTTGCCAACTTCGTGTTTAGTTTGCTCTTTTTTCTAGTTTCTTAAGTTGTAGAGTTAGGTTAAAAAAAGAAATATTTGAGATATTTCTTGTTTTTTTTAACATAAGCATTTATAGCTATAAATGTCCCTCTTAGCACTGCTTTTGCTGTGTCCCATAAGTATTGGTATGTTGTATTTTTGTTTTTATTCATCTCTAAGTATTTTCTAATTTCCCTTGTTGTTTTTTCTTTGGCCTGTTGGTTATTTAAAAGTGCACTCTTTAATTTCCACAAATTTGTGAGTTTTTCAATTTTCCTTCTGTTATTTATTTCTAACTTCATCCCTTTGTGGTAGGAGGTGTAGATCTATCTTTTTAAATATATTGAGACTTGGGCCGGCCG